TACTGTAAGTACTAGAACACTATGAAGACTCTAATCACAAAACTGGATTGGACTTTTAAGGGAAACGGAGGCAGAACAGATACCCTCCGGATACGTTTATCCACTCCTCGCCGACAGTCACTTGTTTGTCCTGGCCACTTATCCTGACGTGTAGTGCATGTGATTTTGCCGTTCTTGCATGAAGGCCTTTTGCAACGACGTTACCTTGTTTGTTTGCCTTCCCCCACCTAACGACAGGCATCGGCGACTAACTTATCGAGCACAATGAATTGAGCCTTGATCTGATCCGAAACGGCTATTTCCCTCTTGAACCACGAAGACTCTCGCTGCCAGCGCGACAGGTATGGTGCACGTTCGCTCTGCCTTATACTTCCTCAATCCCTCAGCTACTGTGCACACACAGTGCGTGACCTATCTCATGAAATGTTGGCTGAAATTCTGAAGTGCGCTTTCGATTAGGAAGGATTACTTGGTCGCGGTTATGATATTGATTATTTTGTGGCATAATCTTATAATATTTTGGACTCGGCAGGACGTCGGCTTTTAAATGCATCTCTTTTCAATCTCCTGTAAAAGCGTGCTCGGTAAAAAATGCCTACTTAAGTAGCATGCAATTTTCCCATTGATTTTCGATAGTCTTGCAAATTCAAATATACTTTATGGAAACCATAAACAAAAATATACTTTATATTAGTCAATTAATAGAGAATCACGTCTTCTTTATATTTTATACTCAAGGAAGGAGTATAATTAGGTTTTAAAAAAGTTTTCTTATTGCCGAAAAATTTGGAGCCTGATCATTCGTTGTATTAGTGCTTAGTGATTACACTCTACAAGGTGCATGCGTTCCGCGTAAAGAAAGTCCCATATTTTTCTATGTCATTAAAGAGATATCATACAGGGTCCACAAAATTTTGCAGTGGATGCGGACCATGTTGTACATTTCATGAGGAGCAGTGGTAAACGTCCAGGTACGATGCTATGTGAATGGACATATCGCGGTCTTAAAAAGTCTCATAATTAGAAACTTTTTTAAAACCTAATTATACTCCTTCTTTAAGTATAATATATAAAGAAGACGTGATTTTCTATTGATTGACTAAAAGAAAGCATGTTTTTATTGATAGTTTCTATAAAATATATTTGAATTCGCAAGACCATCGAAAATCAATGGGAAAAATGCATGCTACTTAAGTAGTCATTTTTTAACCAAGCACGCTTTCTACAGGAGATTGAAAAGAAGTGCATTTAAAAGCCGACATCCTGCCGAGTCCAAAATGTTATAAGAGTATGCCTTAAGAAAATCAGTATCACAACCGCGACCAAGTAATCCTTCCTAATCGAAAACGCATTTCAGAATTTCAGCCAACATTTCATGAGATAGGTCACGCACTGTAGTACACTTATGCTTTCATTTGAATCTACCACGTTTTCCTCCCGATCGGAACATAAATTTCAGAACCGTAGTATTTAACGTACGCACTTTAATTTGACAGTTATGACACTGTCAATAGAAGCGAAGAGACGAGTCCCAGGAAGTAATCTTGAAGAAGGAGACAAGATAGCCGGGACAAGAGCTTTATTAGCCTGACGTTTCGGATTCCTACTGGAATCCATCATCAGAGACAAAAAAGCGGAAACGGGTGGTTGCTGCACAAAGGGGTGCGGTATTTATACGATGCCGTAGCCATGTTACCGCATACCTATGAACATTCACGGCTCCCCCCTTCATCCGGGATCGTCGCACTTGATGTGATCACTGCTCGATGGCCGACATTCGAGTCGATAATTGCTGCAATTTCATCACGTGCGTTGGATGTTGGCGTGATGATTGCTCGACCATCTAACGCACCGACCCCGGTGTTGGGAAAAGTGTTCACCTCTGCGCTCCCCGCATGGATTGTTACTTCGCCTAGGCGAAGTTTCAGCACGCAGTATGGAGTGGGAAGATCGTTGCACTTGTTGATGGACTGGGGGCCAGTAAACCATGATTCCAGTAGCTCCCGGCTCACTCGGTTGTCACCTCTTGCGAGAATTTCGGCGTCATCGAATTTGAATGTGTGGCCGGATCTCGTCGAATGAGCCGCAACTTGAGAGCTGGCGTCATTTCTGCGCACCGTTGCCGCGTGTTCGGCCATTCTCGTTCGTAGCTGTCTTCCGGTTTCTCCGACGTAGTTGCTTTGTCATCAATTGCACCAAATTCGATAAACGACTCCAGCCGTTTCTTGCCGTGGCAGTTGTTTTTTGGTTTCATCAACTGACGCCTGATGGTTGCCTCCGGTCTGTGTGCCACTCCAACCCCAAGTGGTTCGAGAAGGCGGTCGACAGCTTCCGAAACGTTCTTCGCATACGGAAGTGCCCGTCAAGATGTGGTGTCCGTGCGGTTAGGCCTTTCGTCCTTTTTGCGTATGCACCGGTCGACGAAGTTGCGCGGGTAGCCATTGGCTTTGAAGACCCGTCTAAGGTATTGTGGTAGCGTGGGCATAAACGTGCATCAAACCGTTTGTTTTTATCGTCGTTCGTTTATAGATTGGGAATCCACTTAAAATCCATTTCGAT